GTATTTCTCTAGAAAGCCACTGTTTTGTGGCATCTTAATTTTTTTCTTTTTTCTTAATTCTTTTCAATGTTTCCTATACCTGTCCCTTCACCAGCATACCTTTCCCACCACCAGTGTTCCTCTACAAGATACCCTGTAACTGTGTATCTCAAAAAAAGTGGTTTTTAGTTTTTAAAAAGTGAGAGAGTAATAGAGCTACTTGGTATACTTTAAAAGGGGTCCTGTTTCCTTGAACTGAAAAGTTTCCTGAAACCTGGGAGGAGGCAGCCAGACCTCCTGGTATGTACTGCAGTTGAACTGCGAGTGAGAACCTGGACTGCATCAGGAGTACTGAAAATATTTAATTTTGATGGAAAATCTAAATGCTGTAATTTTAGTTTTTATAGATTAGTCTTAGTCACTAAATATAACGTTGAAAGGTATGGGTATTTTGTGTGAATTGTGTGTTTTCTAACTTTATTCCCTTCTATTCTTTTTGTTGCTCTGATACATGTTTTTAATTTTATTATTATTTTTTTTTATAATGTAGGAGCACTGCTATTCAGCCATTGATTAAGCTGATTGAATTGGGCATGGAGCGATAGCACAGCGGGTAGGGCGTTCGCCTTACAAGCGGCCAACATGGCCGACCCGAGTTCGATTCCTCCGCCCCTCTCGGAGAGCCCGGCAAGCTACCGAGAGTATTCGATATGCCAGACACAGTAACAACAAAGTCTCCAATGGAGACGTTACTGGGCCCGCTCGAGCAAATCGATGATCAGCGGGAGGGCCTTTTAAAAATTTTATAAGTTAGTTCACAATGTTTGATTACATTCAATAGTCAAACACCAATCTCTTCACCTTTATACCTTCCCACCACCAAATTAGGGATGTTTTCATCCCAGGCCCCAATCCCAGTTCCAAAACACAACCGAAATAATGTATTTAGTATTGTCTGTTATGAAGAACTGCTGAACATGCTTACAAAAAAGTGTTCATATAGGAAACAGTGTGAAGATTGTTCTATTTTGGCAGGAGCCATTAAGACATTCTACAGGATATCAATAACATGTTGTTAAAGTTTGGGTGATGTGAGCTTTGGTATATATATCTGAAAATATGTATATATTTATTTATTTCCGTCTATGATTTGTTGCCTACTGTCTGAACCCCATCAAACATGGTGTGGTAATTATGGAGAAATGGGTAGGGAGTGTTTTATGATGTGTTGCACTGCCGCTTTCATGGCCTCTCTCGGTCCAGGAAATGTTTACTCATATATGAGGCTCGGCCCGAGCGCATGGGGAGTGGCCTTGAGTGTGGCGGCGCTTGGGTTGTGGAGGGTTTTGGCTGCCGGAGCTGGGTCCCTTGGGGTGGGGAGGGCTCTCACCCACCCCCCTCTGGGGTGCCCCATGTGAAATAACCCAGCGTGGAGTCGGTGGCATGGTTATGGGGGCCTCATGTTATGCTCCCTTTTGGGAGAAGCAGCCCTGTGATCTGGATGGTGACCGATGGCGAGATTATCTGGCGCAGACAGGAGGTGGTTTATGGGCGTGACCCCTGAGTTGCCAGAGACTGGGGAAAGTGGGCAGAGGATCTCCACTCCTGGTCCCTGAGCCCAGAGTCCAAGGTCACAAAGTTCCGAATTACCTGGGTTTCTTAGGACTTCACTCATGCATGAGACTCAGGCGAGTGTGTGGGATCGAGTGCCTTGATCATGGTGGTGGTTGGGTTGTGGAGGTTTTGGATGCTGGAGCTGAGTCCCTTGGGGCACGGAGGGCTCTCACCCTCCCCCGTCTGGGGTGCCCTGTGTGGAACAGCCTGGCATGGAGTCTGGTGGCATGGTTATGGGGGCCTCATGTTATGTTTCAGGAGAAGCGGCTGTGTGATCTGGATGGTGGTCGATCTCCACATTACTTTTTTTTTCTTTTCTTTCTTTTTTTTTTTGCTTTTTGGGTGACACCCGGCAATGCTCAGGGGTGACTCCTGGCTCATGAACTCAGGAATTGCTCCTGGCGGTGCTCAGGGGACCATATGGGGTGCTGGGAATCGAACCTGTGTCGGCCATGTTGGCTGCGTGCAAGGCAAACGCCCTACTTGCTGTGCTATCGCTCCAGCCCCAACATTACTTTTTAAAATTCTATTCTGAATGTCAATTTTATTTTATTATTATTTCCCCTCCCCACTTTTTTGATTCACATTGAGATACAGTTACAAAACTTTCATGTTTGAACTTCAGTCATACAATCATCAAACATCCATCCCTTCACCAGTGCACATTTTCTACCACCAAAATCCCCAGTATTACCACCCCCATTCCAACCCTTCCTCTGCCTGTGTTGAGCTTCTGTAGCTGAGCCGGAGGTGGTTTGTGGTTATGTCTCCCACATACTTAACTTTTGGCCGTTTAATTTCTTGGTAAACTTGATCCCAAGTTGTTGGGGTCTGGCCAAAGGCACAGCAGAAGTTTGGGGGTATCTGGAAGTCTAAAGGCACCATCATGCTGCTGATGCACTCGCCCCACAGGTACAGGTTGACCTGCTGGGGGTACCATACTCCTTCTGATACATGTTTTACTGTGATGGCTGTATACCTGCATACCAGGTTTGCTGACATTTGGCACTTCATTGTGTGTATTTCAGAAGTGCTACGAGATTGCTCTCAGCATTGTGTGTCTGTTCTAGGGGCGAAACTTGTGTTCTCATTTTTGGAAGGCAAGTGTTCTACCACTGAGTTCTTCCTGAGCCTCTTGTTTGTGTTTTTGTTTTTAAGATAGTAGAAGTGGGTTGGGAATGTAGTTGTTAGGGAAATAAAGAACATAAGGATCTTTTTTTCCACCCCCCCCATCCCACTCCTGGTTTCTAGAATCCTTTCCTTCCCCCATCTAGTAATCAGCGTATACCAGTAATAAAGTATTAATTGGAAAAATTGTTTAACATTTGAGATATAGGCAATAAAAATACAATGAACAAGATGTTTCTTTCATGGTTTCATCAGTGCTTGCTTGTGACTGCTTCTGGGGTGTTTGGAGAGTCCTATTATACTGGGGATTGAACCTAGGCACGCAAAGTTTGCTTTCAGCTCATTGAACTATTTCTCTGGCCCACTAAACAACAGCCATTTCCTCTTTTTGCCATTGTTGATACTTTTAGATATATAGTGAGGCTAGTCTTGGAGATGTCATGGGAATGAACAAATTAATGATTTTAATTATTTTTAAGGAATTATAGGAATTTTAATTGCACACTTAAAAGCACATGGAATAAATTAATGAGCTGTAATTCCACTCTTCACAGATAGATCATTGTTTCGTTTTTGTTTGGGGACTATACCTGGTGATACAAAGACTTACTCCTAGCTCAGTGCTTAAAAATCCATAAGTAATACTAGGTCAACTGTGTGCAAGGCCAATGTCTTACCTCCTATACTATCTCTCTAGCATTATCATTGGTGTATTTTTTCCTCATGTTTCTTTGTACTATAAAATCAGCTCTTAGTTAAGTGATGGGTTTGAAGGGAGAGCCATAAGAGATATTCTCAGATATGGTTAAGATTATAGGCAAATCATCATCTGGAGGTGACTTGTAGTAAGAAAATGGAATCACTTGGGCCTAGATAATTGGGTGTTTTGGTGGAACTGATAGGAGGAATTGGGGTTGTATTTTGGTGACTGGATTGTTGTTAGAACCAAGGAGGAGGTCAAGAATTTGATTATTGATTTCCCATCTATTGCTTGAATCACTAGTTGGGATGGGAGTGGATGGGGGCAGGGGAGAAATTGCTTGATTTGATTGGGATAAGTATTTAATCAGCTGTGGACTGTATTAATCAGATTTAGAGCCTCTAAAATGAAAATGTGTCCCAGTTCTTCCATACCACAATTTATGTTTATCTAGAACCAGGCATAAAACTTAGGGCCTTGCAGATGTGAGACACATGTTGAGTACGTCCATGGCTTAGAAGTACTTTTGGTTATGATTTCAGCATAATGGTATGTAATGTTTTGAAATTGAAGAGTAGTTTAAGCAGTGTGACTTTCTTAATCAGGCAGTTATTTAGCTTTTGATTGTTAAAATAATATATTGAGAGAAACACTGAGAAATAGTAACTAGAAAGATTGACACTGAGTTTATTATGTGGAATAAATCCAATGTTTAATATTTTTAAAATGGATTGACACTGTGAGTTATTTGTTTTTGGTAATTACTATTGATTTATTATTTATTTATTTTGGCTTTTGAGGTCACATGCAGTGATATTCAGTGATTACTCCTGGCTCTGCACTCAGGAATTACTCCTGGCAGTTCCCAGAGAACCATTTGCGATGTCGGGGATCAAACCTGGTGGGCCATGTGCAAGGCAAATGCCCTCTCTGCTGTACTATTGCTCTGGTCCCTCTTCTGTCAGTTATTAATGAAAAATAAAACCTTGAGGCCAGAGAGGTAATACACAGGGCAGAACTTGCATGCATCAGAACTCAGTTTGAATCCTGACACCAAATATCTTCTCCTCAGTATTGCCAGTAGTGACCTCTGAGCACAGAGCCAGGAATCACCTCAACCACTGATGGGTATGGCCCCCAAACAACAAAAACTAGATGCTTTCTCTTGGGAAATTTATATGTTTATATGTTGTTTCACTTCCATAATCACTCACATTTTGTGTATTAATAAGTTCAACAAATATTTGGACTTTGGACTACACCACTTAGTGCTGAAGTCTTAACTCCTGGCTCTGCACTCAGGGATCACTTCTGGTGGGACTCGAAGACCTTACATTGGGTGCTGGGGATCAGACCTGGGTCAGCCGTGTGCAAGACAATCACTTTGACCTCTGTACTGTTGCTTCCACCTGTTTTATATTTTAAATTAGAATTCCTAAAATTTATTTGGGTCTCCAGAAGAGTATTGACTGCTTGTTTCAGATATAGAAATATGTAGCTGGAATTTACTCTTGTACCACTTTATAAATAAAGTTATTACTTGTTAAGTAGTATTTTTCTTTTTTTTTTTTTTTTACAGCTTCTCTTCAGCAACGGGTAGCAGAATTGGAAAAAATTAATGCAGAATTTTTACGTGCACAGCAGCAGCTTGAGCAAGAATTTAACCAAAAGAGAGCAAAATTTAAGGAGTTATATTTAGCTAAAGAGGGTAAGTTCATGAATTTTCCTGTTAACCCCCATATTAAAACTATGTTAAAATTTCATGTTCTGGGTTGTACAATGCTTATTTTGTTTGTACATATATTGTATAATAAAAGCCTGTTTTAGAGGCACAGGTTGTAAGTTAACTTGAAAAACAAGTCGGAAATGCATTATTCCAACTTTTCTGGTCTTTTCCTCTTAGTGATAAGGCTACAGAGTCCTGGAACAAAGGCTACTAGTGCTCTTGATACTTGGAAGATAGCCCCATACAAATCAGACTGTTGATACCAGTAGTACAGTGATAGCTTTAGTCCTATTTATTAAAACTGACATTTCATGAGTTTTTTTTTTTTGACATGGCAATGTTCTTTTGTTTATCAGTATTGTGTAGTAACTACCACGAGGCAGACAGTCTAGATGCTTAGTAGACATAAAGTGTTAACACTCACGTGGCCCAATACCTCATAGAACTTCTAGTGAGGAAGACATATAGTAAGTAATTGCGACTGCACCTCCCCCCACCCCCAATGACAGTATATAAGGCACATACATAGAACATATCATGGGGAACCCAATTTAAGGAATAAGGGAAAAGAACATTTTTTAGATACTGTTCTAGGATAATACAGATAGGGTTTCCACAGTTATCTATGTTATTTTAATTGGTTTTGGGCCATTTGCTCTGGTGCTCAGAAGCCGGCTGCTTCTGGTGGTGCTGGGAGTTCATGTAGTGCCAGGGATTGAACTTCGGATTTCTGCATGTAAAACATGCATGAACTATTGCCCAGTCTCTCAACAGTGCTTTAGATCAGTGTTTTTCAAAGTGTGATTGTGGAAGAGCAAGATTAACATCACTGTCACCTGGATAGCATGTTAGAAGTGAAAAATTTTAGATTTCAGACTTACTGAGTTAGAAACCAGTGGGTGTTTTGTTGTTGTTTATTTTTATAACAGTGGCCACAACTATGCTGGAACCATAGGGCCATAATGTGTGTGTGTGTGTGTGTGTGTGTGCGCGTGTGTGTGTGTGTGTGTGCATGCGCGCACGGTGGTGGGGGTGACACGTAATGCAGTGATTGAACTCAGGCCTTTCACATCTTTGATACGGTTCAGCTTCTAATGGTTGGCTTGTACCTAAATGCAGTTCTGTGTATTAATTCAAAGATACAGTTGAAAACCGCTGCTTGAGATCAGACCTATCAAACTTAGATTTTCATATGCCGTAAGATATTACCTGTATCAGTTTGTCACTTCATATTTTTTGTTTTAGGCCTAGTGATGTAGCTCAGTGATAGAGTGCATGCTTTTATGTACGAAACCCTGGGTTAGGTCTGAGGCACATTTTTTAATTTTTGTATTTAAAATGTGTGATAGATATAAATTTTATCATAATACTAATATTTAGGTTTTTTTTCCTTTGATGGTGCTAGGGATCGCATCTAGGGCCTTACCACATACATAGCGTGCATCAGCTGCCAAGCCACATCTTTACCCAGGACTGGTAAATCAAAACTTAATTTCCCATGCTCTGGGGGTACTTCTACTGTGTCTGGTCCTGCAGCCCAAGCCCTTTTTCTGGTGATCCTAGCACCTGGAGTTGGGCACTACAAGTGTACCTGGACTTCCTGACAGCTTTAATAGGAGCCAGCTAAAGTGCGTGTCAGTCATTGGAAGTCAACAATGTGAAGTTTAGGAAAATCCTTTCTTTCTTTCTTTCTTTCTTTCTTTCTTTCTTTCTTTCTTTCTTTCTTTCTTTCTTAAAACCAAAAACCAGAAGAAAATAAGAACTACAGAAAGCCTTCATACTTTTAGAGATCCAGTGGAAAAAACCTATACTTTTAAGTATCCAGTGGGAGGAGCTGGAGAGATAGTATAGGGAGAAGACTTGCCTGTGGCAGACCCTGGTTTGATTTCCATGTCCACACGTAGTGGAATCAGTTACATGTTTCACTATTCATCATCATCATCTATCTAATAAAAAGAACTTTAGCAGGAATTCTACTTTTTCCCCCTCATGGGTGTTTTTTTCTTTTTTCTTTTTCTTTTTTTTACATTTCCCTCTAAAAATTACTTTTTAGAGAATGAATTCTTGCATATGCATCGGAATTTTATCTCTAGGGTTTGTGAACACAGATGTGGAGCCATAGCTGCAGAGTTTGTAAGATTCACTAGATCTCTGTGATCCTACAATTTGCAATTACAGTTAGGTAATAGGTAATACTATTGGTTGAGAGATAGCACTTGGAGAACCACTGACCTAAACTAATATTATGTGCCTATTAGTCCTTTCAAATATTTGGTTAGATTTCTCTGCAACAAGAATAATGCATATTAAGAATGTATTCTGTATTAGTACTGCAGCTATTAAGAGTATTCTGCTGATCACACTATAAATATTATATAGCACTGTAGCACTATCCTCCCGTTGTTCATCGATTTTGCTTGAGCGGGCACCAGTAACGTCTCCATTGTGAGACTTGTTATTGTTTTTGGCACATTGAATACACCATGGGGAGCTTGCCAGGCTCTCCTGTGCAAGCAGGATACTCTCAGTAGCTTGCCGGGCTCCCTGAGAGGAATGGAATTGAACCCGGGTCGGCTGCGTGCAAGGCAAATGCCCTACCTGCTGTGCTATTGCTCCAGCCCATAAATATTATATGTATTACAAATTATTAAGATGTGAAAAATGCTTAATATGTAACTTTTGTAAGATGTGTCAGATCTTTCCTCCCCAAACAATTACTAATCCGTGTGTGAATATTATTTACTTCTAGAAGAAGGTGTCATTTTGGGGAGGGATTTGGGGGACTTGGGACATACCTGGCAATGCCTTCACGGGGCTATTTCTTAAGTGCTTAAGGGTTACTACTGGTGATTCTTTGGGACCATGTATGGTGCCACGGGTTGAACATAGGCTGGTAACATGTAAGGCAAGTGCCTTACCTCCTGTACTATCTCTTTGGTCCCAAATTTCAGTGTATTTTGTTTTTTGCTTTTGGTTTTTGGACCACACTTGGCAGCATTCAAGGGTTTCTCCCAGGGTAGTGTTTAAGAGTGACTCCTGGTGATGCTTAGGGGGATCTTGTGCTGTGTGGGATCAGACCCAGGCCTCGTGCATGCAAACCTTTTTCTTCAACCTGTTGAACTATCTATACTATGGCACAAGCTTCAGGTGTTTTAATTTTTTTAAGGCATAGGTTCTATGAATTCTTGTTCTCATAAATAAGCAGATGCAAATAAAAGTTTTCATAATAATACTCAGTTTTCCCAATTGTTTCTGAATTATGTGTCAACATAGTTCTAAATATTTTTATTTTGTTGTTAGTTCTAAATATTTTTATTTTGTTGTTAAATAAGACCCAACTAGGTCTTATTTGTTCAGTTTCATTGAATATTATTGCAATTATCACCTTGTCAAAAGATACCTAGTTATTAGTTACTATTTTTTTTTTAATTGGGGCAGTGATCACTGATTGGTCCAGGGGCTATGTCAGTGATGCTCAACATGGCAGTGTGGGACTCTGAGGTCAGGGCTTGGGCTGGTGCTATGGTGCTTGGAGCCTGGCAGTGCTAGATACCACAAGAGCTACCCCCCCCCCACCCCCCAGCATTGCTATTCTCAGTGTTGTTCTGTGGTACTTGCACAGGCCAGGCATTTGTTTTCACAATGTGGGCATATTCCTGGGCCCTATTCAAGTTATTTGTTACTTGACACTGATATTTTAAATTGTCTCTCTAGTTTGATTCCAAAGAGAAATATTCTTACACAACAGAGCAATTGTAAAATTCAGGGTGGGTAAATTTTTTGTGAAGTCTTATGAAGTGGGAGAGTGTGATTTCCTGAAAATTAACAGGATGATTCTTGAAACACCCTTTGGGACCTGGGATATAGGTCAAGGGACTTTACTAGGATTTGATCCTGACACTGCATATTCCCCCCAATCAGTGTGCCAGGAATGGCCTCTGACCGCTACTGTGTATGACATTTCTCCCTCCCCCAATCCCAAACAATCTCTCCTTCTGTTTTAGGAGAGAATATTTAAGTAAGCTGAGCATCTAGAGAAGGACTCCTTTAAAGCAAAAATGTGCTTATGAATCCTATAAAAAGTTTTTTTGCTTGTCCCAAGGGATATATGTAACTCATTTGAGAACTTTTGGAGGGTGTTTACAGGTCATTGGATTACCAGTCATTAGACACTGATAGGTAAAAAATATTGAGTATATTGTGACCAACAGTTTCAATAAAGGAATAAAATGAAAAAGAATAACACTCCACACAAAGTATATGTGCACAAATTTTTTTCCACTCATGTACATGAATGTATGAGCTGTGATTTTAAAAAGTGATCAAGTGTTGAATATTCCAACTTCCGACCCACCACTAGTGTCAGTGCCCCTCCACCAATGATTCATGGTTCCCTCTAAGTTGTGTTTCTTGTTGTGAATTATAATCAAAGTTTTAAATCCATTGTTCTGTATGGTGGAGGTTTCTTATATCTCACAAAATTTAGCTCTATCTTAGGAAGGCTTATGGATTATATGTAATGTGGAATGAAGTTTTCTTGTGGCATATAGGAGGGCTGTTTTGCTGTTTCATTTTGTTCTATATCCAGGCCGATGAGCTGGGAAAGCTGGTATTCCTGATGAGGCGTGGTGGTACTGTACAAGATACTGGAGGTTGGGGAGAATGAGATAAGGTTTTTATTTTCAAGGAAGTATAATCTTGGGGGGGGCATGCACGTTCTCAGTTGGGGACCATAGGACCATATGGTGCCAGGTATTGATTCATAACCTTCTTCATTAAGCTATCTCCTTTGCCCAAGAAAATATGATTGTGGTGGGGGTGGTGGAAATGTGACTCAGTAGGGGAGTACCGTCTGTGCATTTGTGGTAAAGGCCTGGGTTTGGTTTCCTGGCATTGAAAAAAGAATGAACAAACATCTTTTGCCTAGTACTTTTCTTTGAATGTATGTTTAGTGTCATGAGAAGCAAGTTCTGTTCAGTTCT